TTAGAACAAAACCAAAGTTTGGTTCATATTTTCGGAGGTTTTTTGTCAAGCACAGTATAACAAACTTTAATGAAACTGCTAATAAAGTTGTTTCTGAAGTTCAGTGCTTTAAAGGCAGCACCCACGGAAAAAAAATCGATTTTGAGATTTTTGCATTTTTTGTACGCTAGCCACACGGGTTGCCCAAAGCCAAAGTAGGAATGCACAGAAGTTAAAGCTCACCGAGAAAATGCCGAATATGTGCTCATCCCGCTTATCCAATTTGCGGGGGTAAGCGGACGAGTTTTCCGTGGATTTCGATGTAACTACACCAACTTCGTAGGCCTAAATAAGAATTTCTACCGTTTTTGCCACTGAACTCCGTAGAGTGGTGACGCGCTGTTCCTGTAACTACACCGAAGCATACTTCCTCGACACACAAGGGCACGGAAAACTCGTCCACTCACCCCCCCCCCTAGCTTAGACAAGCGGGATGGGCACACTTTCGACATTTTCTCGGTGAGTTTTAATATTCGAGTTTTCCTACTTTGGCTTTGGGCAACCCGTGCGGCTAGGGTATAAAAAATGCAAAAATCTCAAAATCGTTTTTTTCCGTGGGTGCTGCCTCCTTTAATTGAATTTCACGAGTTGCGTAAGAACAGAATTTAGCGATCGTAAAATTAAAGGCAGCATCCACGCTCGGGACGCCTTCTGAGTTCTTGACGGGTCCTGAAAGAGGAACTCGAAAATGGTTGAGCTTCAAATTTCTCGGTTCAAAAGTCATTCCTGACCAAGAAAATCACTCTAGAAGACTCGTCCTCAATCTCGCGGACGAGTTTTCTATTTCACCGTGCGCTTTCTATCAGGATCGCCTACCGTTTTAAGCGCGAAGACCATGGAAGAGACTTTCAATTCTACTAATATCCAGGGATTATACGCTCTGACTAGCGCGGAAAGCCAGTTGGACAACTCGTCCAGGAAATCCCGGACGAGTCTTCTGGAGCGGTTTTCTTGGTCAGGAATGATTTTCAAGCCGAGAAATCTGAATCTCAACTTTTTTGAGTTCCTCTTTCAGAATCCGTCAAGAACTCAGGAAGTGTTCCGAGCGTAGGTGCTGCCTTTAACATATTTTTCCAATAGGGACTAGAAGGTGTAAAGAACTCTTTATCTAGTAATTAACTACTTATTGAATGAAGAGTTCTTCACGTAACTTTAGTTTTTTGGGACTTACCTGATTTGTCTTATTCATCTTTTTCTAATTTTCAACATCGGTAATTTGTTGGCCCTATAAACACACCCTGAATTAGTCGTTACCTCTCAGTGGCTCAGTCTATTCGCTACCCGATTCGTTGTCAGGTAGTTCTACGCCAGAGGTGAAGGTAACCATCACTTTTCAACTGTGCTTATAAATTAACGAACTACTTATTTTATTTTTATTTTTAGTTATTTTTAACATACAGCCTTGACATCGTTTCTCATCACTTTTCTTTCACACGGTTTTTCTGGAGAAATTCCAAAAATGAAGTTAATGAGGAAGAATGGAGCAGAGAAAGACCACCGAGCGCTCTCTCCGGAGTGATATCTCCGCTCGCCTCCCTGTAGTTTGTGTTTGCTTTACGAAACTTTCCAGCGTCGTCCATGGAGCGACCTGTGACCAAAAAACGCTGACAAATATGACGAGCCGGTGACTATCGAGAATTATCGCCAGAAATATAAGGAGGATATGCGGGCGATTCTTAAGCACTGCTGTTGCCTTTAATAATTGAGAGTTTCGAACTACTTGGCTCTTCAAAGTTAAAGACCTCAAAAACTGCGGCAGATGTCGTTCCAACCCCCACCTCTCAGTAACTTTCTCAAGGTCTGCGCCAAGCTACAGCTTTCTACTCTCCCTGCCGAAGCTGAGAAAAGCTCAAAAGGGTGTCATTTTTTTCCCGAAACCACTGAGTAAAGACCAATTTATCCGATTTTCTTCACAGCTTCATAATTAATGGAGCAAGATTGGGCAGCAGCAAGGCAATCTAGTATTTTGCAGGGCTCATATGAGACATTTTCGCATCGTTGCGTAGTCGGACGTCTGCTTTTTTTAGACTTTTGCCGCTTATATACCAACAACCAAAAAGCGTTGCCCCAAAATAGGCAGTTTTTTTAATTCTTTGCCTTTGATTTTGTTCTTTTTTGTTTTCTTTTTTATCTTTGCTCTCCCTCTTTTGCGTTTCTTTTCGCTCACTCTCTGCGTCCTTGGTACCTCTCCCTCTCCAGTTCATGGATCCTTCCATAATCTACATACTTAAGCAAACATGATCTATTTTAAGTATGTCTGGAGTATTTTATCAAGAAATAAGACTAACTGAAAGCCGTCTGTAAGGAAAGTTATATCTCAAAATCCGTCGAAACCCTTCCTCATCGCGCTTCTTTGTGGTTGCACTGATGTTTTCTACAGTAAATTTTAAATTTTCTATTACATATATATATATGTGAGTAACACAGAAAGACATGAGTAAAATATAAACTATAGTTATGAATTACTCTCTTTTTCGCGGACTATGACTAGTGAGGTGGGCGGGGCCGGGCACCCAAAGGGATCCCAGCCGTGTTCAAACATATTAAAACACGGTGAACTAGCCATAATTTTGATCTGTTCTTTCCGTTTCGACACACATCTCTGCTTTTCAAGTTGCTTTGGACTCTCTTTGTAGTCCAAAGCAAGTTTGGCCCTGCCCACCTCACTAGTCATAGTCCACGAAAGAGAGGGTATGATTAATTAACCTCTCATCCCCTACCCCTCCCCCATCGCTAGCGTACAGTAGGCTAACATTCATGTAAAAGGAGACATTTTGTATCTTACGAGGAATTAATGGGAATATACGATTACTATAAAATTTTGCTGGCAATCGAACATGCAGAGGATGCTTTGGCAAATTAGTTTTGATTTTCTTTTAATTTGAAGGGTAATATTAGCTGTTATCGGACGAGTTTTCGCACAATGTATAGAGACATCCAAGCGATTTCAAATTTGTGCGGAAAACAACGATCATTTCTGAGAATTTCTTTAAAAAAAATTATGCAATCTTCCGTCCAGGGAATATGTTGCCGTAACTTCGCCAACCCATCTAATATCAGCGCTTAGCTCCCAAATACCACTCTAATCTACTCTTATCAACACTCCGCGAGCTTTTCTGCGATTCTTATCAACATGCTGACAAAGCGTCGATGAATGAAACCTTACAAGGAATCGCTTATCGTTACAAGTTGACCTGACTGAATGCAACTAGCCCAACATCCTGATTTCTATTCTCTCCCCTTCATTCAGTGTCTTTGATTCGACTCATTTTACTTTGCCGAGTGTTAATCCGTAAAATTCGTTAGTTACAAGTCTCATGTTTTAGAATGGTCCAATACAAGCTTTCATATTTCGATGGCCGCGGAACAGCTGAGATTATCCGCCAGGTTGGTTAATACTCACCCCTGGATAGTATAGAATATCTACCATTAATATAACTATAGGAACCGTGACGTCCTCTTTTTAGATCTTTGCCCTTGCTGGCCAGGAATACGAAGACGTCCGATATGCACACGACGAGTGGCCGAAGCACAAGGATGGTTCGCATTTCATTCTCTTCCTACCCCACACGATTGATAATGTATAAGAAAATCTGCATTTGCAGAAATGCCATTTGGCCAGATGCCAGTTCTGGAAGTCGATGGCAAGCAGCTCGCTCAGTCCTTCGCCATCGTTCGATTCCTTTCCAGGAGGTTCGGTAAGTAGTCGTGGAACAGTGAGAATTTGTGGACCATTGTCGAACGGGATTTTTTGAGGTTTTGCGGGCGAGTCTAGATTCGATGAGGCTCTGGTAGATTCCATTGCCGATCAGTTCAAGGATTTCATGACTGAGATCCGTCCCATGGTGGTTGTCTCTTTGGGCTTTGCGCAGGGAGATTTGGTGAGTTTATATTAAGGCGACTCCGAGCGACAACGAACGACTGTGTGCAATTTTTTCGCAGGCAAGATAATCGTTAAAAGGTCTTCTTCTTTTGTAGGCCAAGCTCACGAAGGAGGTGTTCCTTCCAGCTCGCGACAAGTTCTTCGCATATATCACTAAGTTCCTAAAGGCCAACAAGTCAGGTAAGAGCTGCTTTAACCTCAGTCCGTTTTGTTTCCCTCCTAAGCCCTGATCCACACCTATTTTAGGCTACCTTGTCGGTGATTCCCTAACTTATGTCGATCTCTACCTGGCTGAGACGTCTGAATTCGCCAAGAAGGTCCCAACCCTCTATGATGGATTCCCAGAAGTACGATCCAGACAACTTTTCTACAGTTCTGCTGGTCTTCATCCTAAAATATTTCAGATCAAGGCTCACGCCGAGAAGGTTCGTTCGATTCCTGCTCTGAAGAAATGGATTGAGAGCCGTCCAAAAACCAATTTTTAAATTATTCTAATTACCACGATATCGATTAATATTTCAATAAATACGTAACATATTAGTGAATGTAATTGTGTACCAGAAAATGTGAGGTGTAAGGCACAAATAGGTTTCAAAGTGGAACTAAAGTTGGCCTCGACACAAAAACAGAAATGCCCAAATCTCAACGATCTGCTGAGGTTGGTTCGCTAGTTCTGATCTGGCTTCATCACTGTAGATTTAGTCCGTGTTGGGAATCTTTTCTAAGAAATACGATTCTAGCAAATCCTACTACAAACTATCTTTTTTTATAAAATGCGGGCAATCCATGGAATTAAAAGCAGTAAGATGAAGGAATAACGCTAGTACAGGATGAAGGAACGCAGAGAAGTCGCTTGGTTACTGTTTAAAAGCCATGCCTTTACTAAAAGTGTCCAGTCCTACGGAGACTTTTTAAGATTTAAATTTAAATTTAAAGGTCTGTTAGCCTCAACGTTGAGTGATATACACGCAAGTGATGAAGGATACCAGCGCTTACTGTTTCTTTTTTTACGATTTTTTTCTCGCTGGGGCGTAAAATTCGCGGAAATTCAAAAACGAGAAAGATCAAAAACCAGGGGTGATCGCACGCATGGATTGAACCTGCGTTACGATTCACGAGAGTTGGAAGCGATACCACTACACTACCCGACCCTTCCGTATACCCTAGAATTTTTCGGTTGATGTCTGGAACGTTTCGAAGCTTGTCTATTTAAAAGCACTTTCGTATTCTTATGTATGTTATTGATATTGGTATTTATTACACAAGTATAATCCCATGTATGAAGGAAAAAAGAAAAGAAAAGAAAAACAATGAACAAAACAATAGAACAACGTGTACCATAAACACTAGCGAATATGGCAGATGACATACCATTCTGTAGCTTCGATTCATTATACTACTTTGGCTT